AAATAGGCTGTGGCTATTGCAAGTGGGACTCAGCTGAAGGAGCCGAAAAGTGGTAGGGCTCCTCTACATTGTCTATGTGATGGTTAGGATGCAATGAATGAATGGACACGCAGTATTCTGACTTCCAGTATGTAACACAGCCAAATGCAGAAGATAGCTCTCAGTTCTTCAGAACTACCCAGGCAACTATTGTTTTCTCCACAACGATGCTCTGTCCTACTTCAGGAGCGGTATGTCTGATAATCCGGAAGCCAGACTTCGACGCTATCTCATACGTCGCACTCTCCGGACCTGGTTCCATCCGGCTACCTTTGCTTCTGGCCGCATGGTGGCAACTTCGTGTACAGCAACTCAATAGTCGTGACCGGAATTAGCCATCTTTGCTGATTCAGCCCTCACTTTCTGGGAAACGGAGAGCTTAAGTGACCGTTGAACAGATGAATAGCCTTAACTGCAACGAAATTTATATCATTGGGTGAAAAATACTTCAGTAGATGAAAAATCAGTATTAAAATCTACTGTTCGTATCGCGGGATTTTTTGCCCAGACCAAGATTTGTCTTCAGGTAAGTAATCGCAACATTTCATGGTTCTGTGTAAATATGTGGGTAATCTGTATGGTAATATTGATCGCGTCCTTGAGCGGCACCGGTGGCTAAAGACAGTTTCCACGCTTAAACACAGTTCCTGTAATCAAGTGTTCTGCGAAATGCCTCCATTGCATTTGACGTCGTAGTCAACCTTCGCAAAGAGTGTACCACGTTCGTCGCTGGAAACAGCAAGATAAAGAGACTAGGGGCGCGTGAAAATTGCAACCATTGCAACCACGGTTACTTTCAATCAGCAGGACAATGGCTTGCAAGCGGTATTGCGTATGTACAGTCCTCATCATTGCGGACCGGTGGGGCGTGTCAGCCAGAAGGAGTGCGCACACTGAAGCCGTTCTCAGCCTTTTTGTTGCAACGCGTATGCGACAAAAAGTGGTAGAAAACGAGTAATACGAAGGATATTATACAGTAATGCACTTGTTCGCTTCAAAAACTGGTGCAGAACGACTTTGCCAAACCGCACCAAATGCAGCCGCACTGCCACGCCCCACCGGTCCGCAATGATGAGGACTGTACGTAGCATTGCCTGGAGCGTCTGGGCGATTTCATATGCTCTTTCCGGGAACTGGTTGTAGATTGGGCTTGTCCGCATAATGAACTCGTCCAAGGCGTCGGCCCCACTGCTGGGGGATTCAGGGTGCTTCCAGGGTTTTCTCTGCTTCTTTCTCTACTGGAGAGTTAAAAAGGGGGTACCGGTTCATGACAGACCTACTAGCTGTGAGACTTGATCCAGGAATTGTTCTTAATCAGTTTGTAGGCTTTCTTCTTTGTACAGTGGGTGGTCCTCAGTATTTGTTAATATCTCGTTTTCGCGGCTTCAAAGGGAGTAACGAGGCGCTGCTGCCCGCACAAGTAGCAGTTTTGACGCCTCCCCAGTTGTCCTGCCCAAGAAACTCAAGGGCTGTTTTCTATCACGTGTTCAGATTTTACCCGTCATGAGTTAAGATTTTACCCAGGGTTAAGCGTTTTTCTTTCACTGTTTAATGGTATCAGATTGACAGACGCAAGCAAATGATTAGTGAGCCAGAGGCAGCGGGATGTCGCTTTGCCCACATAAAGCAAGCAGGTCAGGTGAACTCTTACTTACTGCCAGGGGTCCTTAGAATGTTCTCCACGATTCTTTTAATTGCTTCTTTTAACTTCTCTGGAACGACTTTCAGCGACTCAGGTTTCTGATTGAACGCCACTATCGGCCGTGGTGTTTGTCTGTGAGGAAAAGCACCTTTCGCCCTCCTTCGTCCCCCCCCCCTTCTGAAAAGCACCCATCTGATTATGCTAGCCACTTTATTGTAATGGCTACATCTTGTGTGATGTGTGTAGACGGTGGCAGCGACAGCTTGACAAAAATACTGTTAGAAAATGCTCACATTCCTCAATCCTCCTGTCGAAGGTTTATTCCTGAAGCTGTTGGTCGTGTTGTTTTGCTTTGCTTTCCATTCACTTTTGTAATTTAGGCACCTGCCGACGAATTTCTCCCGGATAATGTGGATGAGGTGCCGTCATCTTCGGATTTCTCCGAGATTCCGGGATGGAACATACAGTCGTCAGTGAGAGATGTATCTCATTTGGATACATCATTTATTACGGGTTACGGTTCTCGAAAAAGAAAATGATTTGCCGAATTCACTTCTGTCCCACTTACGGCTGATGAAAATCTTCTTTATGCCGAAATTCTCTTCAGTCAGTATTCTTTTTCAAACAGCTGTAATGGGCTTTATTCACAACTGTCGGGACCCATTTTCATACGTGTTGATTAAGATTGTGCCTTTGAATTTAGCGAAAGTATTAACATTTCTGTATACTGTCAACATAAAAACAATATATTCACGCATAAAAATTTAGATTTCTTTTTATTTCTGCTGTGAAATCGTTTTTACGAACACTGTATTACATTTTTTTGTACTTTACCAATTGCTGAGTACTCGCCTGTCAACCTTATCTCACGGCCAAATGTCAGGTGTTATGCTTTTGTTGGTTCAAGTGATATTCTCAAGATTTCTCGTCGAAGTACACGCATTGGTCAAGAGGATGTAAATACGACCAACCAGTCGCAGTGCACTGTAATTTCGCTGTGAGAGAGCAGCTCATGTGAAGGTGTATGAGCCCCTTGGACTTGTTTTACTTGTACGACAATTTATTTTGCAAACTTTACCTCTGTGGTATAGTAAGGGTGTCTGTAGTGTGCTAATCAGTTTAGCATAAATACACTACAGATATACTGAATGCTTTTATGAACGTAGTTGTTTCGTGGGTAGTACTGCTTTCACTCACAAATGCTGTCTTGTTTCGTTTGTGAAGTTTGTGTCTTTCTGATCGTGCTTGATTCTCTGCAAAGAGTTTCTTGATATCCTTGTCTCTATGTTTCGATGATAATGCTGTAGTTTTTCGTCTCATCACCTGGACAAGCGCAGAATGTACATTTGGCATTTTACATGGTGAACTAGTTTTTAGATGCTGTAATGTGCGCCTCAGAGCTCACAAGGTGTCAATGGTGTCCCCAGGTCCGTTGCTCGGAGACGCTGCCTCGCTTCCATCATTGTGTCATGGATTCTGTGGTCGTTACAAGCTGCCAGTTGGAAACGATAGTGGAGCGGAAACCGTATGGTCGGAGTGTGGTGTGAGTTCTCAATACTATAGTTTCTCATTAATGTTTCCTTGCTGTTACGTAAACTCGCTAAATCTAAGAAGTGGTATCTTGAGATTTGAATGCAACTTTTGGTTCAAATATTTGGATCGTCCGCGGACGATTGTGATGAAGTTTAACACATCTTAAGTTTAACACAGTTTAACACGTCTTTTAGATCTGACGTCTTTTACTTTACTCCATCGTTTACCTCTCTCGACTCAGTTTTTCTTATGGTGATATGGAGTTTTTTTCGTATTTTCGTATATAAATGTATTATTCATTTATTTCCATAGTTTTAAAGAGAGAACCCGCGATTACTCGCCATCTCAGATGGTGGATTAGGGGTTCCATATAGACGACAAGGGGTTGAGTAACTCGACTGTGAACAAAAAAAGCACAAAAAACATGCCACCTGCCCTAGATAGAACCCCATTTCGATCCCAGTTTGTACGTGCCCAATCAACTCTATCTCCAAAACTACGCCCTCATATGCACGGCTGATTCACCGATAAGATTTATCGTACAAGTGGCGATTATCATGCTTTTTCGTCCTGCAATCTCATTTTTCACTGGAAGTCGGTCATTAGAGGCGGAGTCTGGAGGCGGAGTCACTGGAAAAAAGGAGGAGGACCTATATTGCGCTACAGCGCCCCTCCCATAGAATTTTTTGCCGCGAAACCGGTACAAGGTTGTTCGTCGCGGACCACTCTAACCTCCTGACGCCATATTTTCAACTTCGATACCTGATCGCGGACCGTGCCTTTAAGGTGTCACTCTAAAATATCAATGAAGTCTAAGTAGAAGATATAGATTATAGAACGCTAGATATAAATGGCATTATATTATATATACTTGCTGTTTGCCCTGGATATCGGCTTTTTAGTGAAAGCTGTCGCGATATAATCAAGATGGGAAGTGTAGGGTCACAATGTAATTGATTACAATGCAGCTTCTACTGACGAGAACGGAGTGGGAGCTGAAGATGTCAAGATGCACTATGGCCCATCCTCAATGCTCGGTACTGATTAAGGGATTTAGTTGAGTGAATTAAGCGCGCTATTTTTCGTAAAGTAATATGCCCAGCCGTGTATTCTGGTATCATCGAACACCAAACTTGCTAGCGAATCCTGTGAGTTATACTTTACCGATACCGCTAGTCCTCTCTGTGTAAGTCTGCAATATTGTTCGACCCCGACGTGGCGACCTAGGGCTTGGAGACCACATCGGTTCCTTTTTCGATGTCATAAGAGGTTTTGAAATTTTCGTTGTCAGAATGAAATGTAATCGTAGGGTAGCTGACCGTCGAAGAGCGCATGATTTTGAGAGTATCCAGAATGGGAGGGATAATGCAGTCGCCGGTTACTACTTTATTACTCGTCTTATTTGCAATGTGCGGTCCTGCAATGTCATGCTGGAAGTGCATTTTGGGTGGTGCTTTCTACGTGAGGTACGGAGAGAAAAGCTGAACTGCCTAACAGGTCTTTCTGCTTCGGAAGCCCCTCCGCATCCAGTGCATCCATTTTGACGCTTCTGAATCGTGCGTGTGGTGGAATCGCTGGACACTGTGGTTAGGCTAGAGTAGGACACCTACTTCTCACTCTCGATAATTGATCGAACCACCCGTGCGGGCGTTCAAGATGGGGGACTGAATGGTAGATGCTAGCTGAGGTTTATGTCAAGTAGGGTCAATGCTTGACGTAACTCACAGCCAGCATCACGATCAAGATTTCAGATCTGGCATTCCCTTTACCAACCTTGACGACTTGAATGAATCCCGGCATTCAAGTCGTCAAGGTTGGTAAAGTGGCGGCTGGCTTTATGCAATTGGTTTTCTAGGCTTCCCTCATACTACTGCGGCAACGTCCACCAAGGTTTGCCAGCGTTCAACAACGTGTAGAAGTGGAGAGTATGGGGAAGTAGGAGGGTAGCAGACAGGTGGAGTAGCCGTCGCGGAAATTGCGGTGGGAGCAATCGCAACCTGCTTTACACCGTAAATCCAGACTGCATGCTTGCTTTAGCAGTTGTGCGATGCAGCTGCACACGCCGCCATTACATGACGCCTAACAGCGTCTACCACCCTCCCGCTTCCCATATTCTCCACTCTGGACGCTGCTGTACACTGTCAAACGCTGGTGGACGCTGGCATTCGCTAGATCGGTACATACACGAGGTGGTACTTCGTGAGTCCCTCGGGACCCTGGTAGACGCTGGCCTTCGCTAAATTGATAACTGTACTTTACTATCGCTGGCGCTGGCAGACATTCGAAACGCTGGTATTCGGTGGTGCGCGCTCCGCAGAGGGCCGCGCCCATATGGATCTGTCTCGGTCTTCGCAAATTTACCTTACCGTACCTCCCCTTCTCCTATGGAATATCGGCCATCGTTGAACTTGGAGAGGCAACGATAGATGTGTTTGGACATAAGCATTCTTTTTCTAAACATTCCGGAAGCCGAAATGCATTAGGGATGAGGGCATACTATTAGATCATAGCGAATGACTGAAAAAACCACTGGAAACCCCATGGGCGATTGTAGTTTCCTTAATTCCTTCCCGATTCAATAGATAGGCGTTTTTACATCTTAACCCATTAAATCTATCTATCAATTATATCTATTAGGTTCCCTTAGTCCATAGTAAGATAATCTCGATTGCGTTTCGTTTTGTTTTTTGATGCTTTTATTACTTCTTTGAGGTTTTTACACATTGCATTCTAGTACTTTACTCGAGGACTTTTGAAAAATCCTTATGTTTTGTTCGTGTAAGAGGTTATAGTATATATTTTATTTTGCATTATTGCAGCCATGTAAATGGGGCAGTGGTGCGGTAGACCATCGCATCTGCTCCCCATGTCAGTCGGACTTGTCTCCATATGACTGGCTCTTTCTGCTGTTTATGGCTATACTTCCACTGCTTGTGCATTGTTTCTGTGTGCATTGGCATACACCTAAAAACACGTGAGCAACTTTTTTCTTTTTGAGTTTCTTTTATAGCTTTTCTTCTGTCCCGTATTTTATTGCCTTCAATTTTTTTTAAATACCGTATATTTACAATCATTGTTTCAACAGAATATCCTAAATCCGTTCTTATAGTTCACGTGTGCACGAGTTGTGTGAGCATCTATGCTGCGTACTCGAATGTATAATTGCATCAGTTGCTGCTGTGCTTGTATTTCCGCCGAGGCTTTCTTTCACGGTGTGGGGCTGTGCTCGATCGAGTATAAAAGAGTGGTGAGTTAATTTACAATCGATTCCAGTGTATCTCTAGTAGAGCATTATGTGTGGAATGATTGGCTCAGAAAAAATCGTATGCTTTTCTTACCTTCTTCTTTCTTACCTTACATGCAGAAGCCTTTCGTTGACCAGGGTAGAGCGGTCAGCAGTCACAGAGCATGCCCCTTTTCTTTTTCTGTCCTACCTTCAGAACTGCTCAATCCCTGTTGGGCAGTGGTGTATCGATCATTTGTATGTTCTCTAGCCATACATAGTCTGTTTCCCTCATCTACCCGCTATCTCTCTGGGTGTACACTCACGTAATGCTCATAGCCAACCGGCCGGTTTTTCTTCCTTTTTTCTTTCGATAAGCGACGGGAACATCATACCTTCGTATCAGTCCTCTTCCTCCAGATTGGTGGAGAAGTGGTGGTGACGCCCCAAACCCACTCACTGTCGCGTCCCATCATCCGCAGCGAAAAAGACTGTACTTATTCGTCTTTTGAGTCGAATCCCGCATAAAGGGATTGACTGAAAAGGGACCTTTCTTATCTATACTTAGATTTTTCAGGTATCCGGAGTTATACAATCCTATAATCAATCATGTTAAACCGATGCGGTGTTCCTATGAAGTGGTATTCCCTTTGTGAGTTACCTTCGTAAACAGTTTGTGATTACTCGGCGATATTTCATTGTGTTATAATTTGTTTTAGGTATTCTCTGCCATTCGTGTACTTGCTATTTCTTTTGGTTTCTGTCTTGAGCTGCCGTTCAATACTCTATGTGTTTGTGTTGAAGAGGAAAAGAGATGCAAAAGCATTTTATTATGCTCTTCTTTCTATTCCCAAAATTGCCGTCATACATGCACTCTTGGTAGGTGAACGGACGATTAGTTCTGAAAATTTTTCGAATGATTGTGTATTTTATTACAGGCTGGTGTGCTTTATCAGTCATATCCATACATCGTGATGTTATGGAGTTTGTGTGCAAATGCTGTGCATTTAGCTGCAGAGGGCAAAATATCGATGAAGGAAATTACAAGTGAGTTCCGGTGTTTTTCTTTTCTCTTTTCCTTATGATTCGTACCCATCGTACCATTTTAACGTTCAATAGACTGCAAGGAGGGTAGTGAGTGTTACCCAAAACTGAGTCGTAACACTCACCAATTCGATCACTATATGATGTACCATTTATGAATAGCGAAAAGTGAAAATTTGTAGGGGGAAAGTTGCTGCAACGAAACGATCGCTAAGCTATCTTTCCATACTTCCCAGTCATTTCTTAGTGCACTACTGCAGTTAGTCTCATTGAATTATACCTGCTAGGAACAATCCGATTTCAGAAGTGGTTTGCACCTCACCGATGCACATGGTGATGCTCACAGTCAACATGACCCTTTTGGCTTTCTCTCTGCTAGCTATTTCGGCACAGAAGTAGGTTTTTCTCTACTTTTGCTCAATCTTTTTGAAGTAATTTGAACATAATGCACGACTGTAGGCATTTTTGGCTTTTTAGCTTCTTTTTCTCGCAAATGACTATTGAGAATCGCTTCTTCTGAGAGCACCTCCATCATTCTCTTTCTTTTTCTTCGAGTTCTTTTAGACTGCATTCCCCCCCCCTCTGCGTCTTTTTCGCTCTCTCGTCGTTAAACCAGTCCCGCCGCTTCTCCCTGTTCCTTCTGTATCTTCCTATTTGAGTAGTCTCGTCAGTCCCGTACTTTGTATCACCCTTTTCAAACCAAGGTGTCAGTCCACGAATAGAAAGGTACGTAGGTACGAGGGTGTCTTCTCGCATTCAAAAAGCCTTGCAATGTGGAATTTACATTATATTAGGTCAGTCTAACTGAATTCAGGAGCGACAGCGCTCGTGTATTAGGTTTGCATAAGTTCTTATACACGTGTTTGATCCTCTCCTATTTCGTTCGCATGGATGTTGGTATTACGTCATCACGTGTGCGTGACGTGTACATTATACTCTTTCATTACACTAGCTATCACTCACCGAGCTTGCATTTGCAGTACACAATGTCGCACAATTTGCACTGTGACAAAACGTACCTGCGCCACTGTTTGGTTTTGCTCCACGATTTCGGCTGGAATGCAAAGGAAGCCCATACCAAGCTGGTGGATACGGTGAGGACGTCATCTCTTACATGACATGCAAGAATTGGTTCGCCAAATTCAAGAAAGGAGACTTTTCTCTCGAAGATGCTCCGAGGTCGGGTCGGCCGATGGAGTTGGATTTGGAAGTACTACGTTCCACCGTGGAGGAGGACCCGTACCACCAGAGAAATGGCGACCATGCTTAGCTATGATCATTCGACGGTTGCACGTGGACTAGAAAAGCTCGGCAAGGTAGCAAAGCTTGGTCGATGGGTCCCACATGAACTGTCCGCTTATGACCTCTCGAGGAGGGTGACCACCTGCACTTCTCCTCACTTTCCAAAAGAGGCTTCACTTTCTCAACTCGATGATCACTGGAGATGAGAAGTGGGTCCTCTACGATAACCCTGTGAGGAAGCGGCAGTGGGTCGACAAAGGAGAACAGCCAGAAGCCACTCCAAAGGCCGACCTTCACCCAAAAGGTCTCCTGTTCCTGTTGTGTCAAGAAGAGGCATGGAGTCTGGGAGCTGCTGGAGAGGATGGCTGATGGTCGCCCACCCTCCCTACAGCCCTGACCTCGCTCCTTCTGACTACTGGCTGTTCAGCCACCTGCAGCGCTATCTGGACGGAAAAAAGTTCGAAACAAAGGATCAGGTCAGAAAGGCGCTCGACGACTTCTTCAAGTCCCAGCCTCCGTCGTTCTGGAAGGATGGAATCGACAAGCTGCCTGAGCGCTGCGTCGATGGTGCATACCTCTAATCTTCAGGCTGGTTCGCTATTGAGATATTTACGAAAAAAGTCGTGTATAAGAACTTATGCAACAACCTAATAAAATAAAGAGAACCAAGCTTTAGGAAACTAGCATTGATGAGGCACACGCTGAACCTATTCAATGGTCACCGTTGCTCCGAAATAGAAGCAAATCAGTTCCGAAAAGCGGCGTTATTTTTAGGAAAATCACTTAATCACCATAGAATATCCCTTTGAAGTGTGGGGAAGGAACTTAGAAACATCTTCAGCCGGAACGTCCTCAATAAGGAATTCAAGGAACTCAGCCTTAGGCTGAGTTGTTTCATTATGATAAGCTCTAGCTTGTCGCACTATTATACTATTCGGTTGGCGGGTTGGCGGGAAAGTTCTGTCATACTTTTTTGAACTCCAAGTATTCGCCTATTACCTGAAGAGGGCTAACCGGTAATGTGAGCATTTATACATTAAGGATTGATCTTTCTATTAGTGTCACTGGCTCGGCTCCTGCTCATCCTTATTCTGCATTATGGACAAGAATGTTATCCGCTACCTTCAGCACCGACCCCTTCAAGCGCTTCCTTAAACTATTTCTTCTACCACCCTGGCGCCAGCATGGCAGCTGTCGACGCCGAAATAATGGAGCTGCACAAGGACAATGTCTACAGTCATCAGACAATCTTCCACGACGCTAGCTCTTCAGAGCGGGAGCCTACGGTTCGAATGACGAAGTGAGGTTCGGGAGTACCTGTAAACTCAGCTCTAGATAGCGGTGGGTCGGGAAACTACTGGATGAAGAAGCTGCCTCCTCGGTCAATCCGTACGCAAGGCAGCTACGAGATCTGAAGCGAATCGTCAAGCAGAGGGCAAAATCCAGTCCGTCTTCAACGTGCTGGTGCAGCACACCCCGTCAAAAAAAGTTCGAGCCGTACTTCATGCAATAGAGCTGGATGGCTCTCCCCTTGCACCGGTGTAGTCCAGACATTGCTCTTTCTGACTGCTAGTCGCCTCCCGTATTCAACCGTTATACAGCCGAGAAAACCACCACTTGAGCCCAAGTCAAAGTTGAGATGATGTCCAACTTTGCGTCGCGCCGGCGTGCATTGTTAAGCGATGGCATCCACGAACTGTCCAAAAACTGGCAAGGATCTCTCAATAACATTGCTGTATAATTTTGATCTTGTACGCCTCTCTAAAAAAAAAGTCTAATTTGAAAAAATGTGACAGAACTTTCCCGCCAACCTAATACAAGAAAAGAAGTTTAAAGAACTGCTTTATCGAGCTGCGACTCTGAATGATAGGGCGCGCATTTACTTACACCCACCAAATTATCACTTTTGGCTCTGGCATTTCCCAATGGATCATGACCAGGGGTGCCTAAGTAATTGAACAAAGGAGGGTGGTGTCATCGCTAGTCTTGCACTTAAGTGCAACACCACTGCTTCGTTTCCGCAAAGGAAAAAACCCCATCGTTTGAGAAGCCTGTCCTGCTATACTAGAGCGGGAGATCAGAGTCTTACGGGAATTTTCAAGACCTACATTGTTGTATAATTATGCTAGAACTCGCAGCAAAGAAGCTAAAGGTGAGTATCAGGCCGAAGGAGGAATTCACGAGTCGTGTCAATGACCCCGTTGACCTAATATCACCCACCCCCTCTCGTTCATGGTATTTGTGGTAGCTTGCATCCCCTCAATAGTTTCTCTATTCTTGTTCCGAAGGAGGCAGAGCTCAATATTTCAATGTAAAGTGCTATGCATGCGTGAACCGACGTCCTGGCAATTCAAGCGAAGCGAGACTAGGCTAGGGGTTTTTTACTGGCAAGACCAGGAAACCGTATGCGAGTTTTGCAAAATTGTTGCGTTTCCAATTCAGCAAGGATAGTTGAATGACCTCGCTCCTGTAATGTCAGTTGACAGGCGCTGAACATTGCTCTGAAATGTCCACTTGGCTCTCTTCATCCACCGCGTGTAGGATCGTCTGTGTTCACATTCGTGCAATTTCCTAAAAAAAGCTGCTGAAACAATTGACGAACGATAGCTACAGATGTCAGTGAATGAGGGTCGTAACATAGTCAAGCGTTGCTGTTTGAGGGCGATCCTAATCTAGTAATCATTACAATGTGTCATCCTCTGCTCCCATCGTCATTTGCTTTCGTTCCCAGACTTAAGGCGAGTTTTGTATGATGGATGAACGCAAGGAGAAAGCAAATAAAAAAAGCTCGGCTATAGAAACACATGGAAGAGTTTGTCGTAACTTCGTATTTACAGCATCGTGGGGAAAGCCTCCGCGTCTAATAATCCCCACGTCGTCCCCTGATGTAACCTCGCCATGATGTCGAGTGTTCAATTATTATACTTCTGCCAAACGAAGTTATTAGATGAAACCACTTAATGGCCTAACGTTTCGACCTTTTCGTCTTCTTCAGATGCCTGAAAATGGCTCTAGGCTTTTAATTTGTTACCTACCCGACAGAACGCCCTTCCCACTCTTGCGCTTCTGACCTTGTTTCCCGAACGCTTCCGAACAACCCGGCCATAAGTGCAAACAGCGCACCGAACGTCTCACCGCGGCGGGGCTTAGCTCTCGCTGTGTGCCAGTAGAAAAGTAAGGTCGAATGAGACCCATTTGAGTATCATTGTGTCGCATTATTCAAGAATGTGTTACGCACGTAGCCCTTGCTGTAGCTCGTACTCTCTTTTGTTGTTTATTCTTGTTTTCTCGCGAAAATCTGAAATAAATCCGAAATATTCTTAGATGAGATTTCCGTCTCGTACGTCAGTATAATACTCTTGACATTGGAGTCATTCCCCCTGTGCTCCTCAGTCTTGTGCTTGTCAAGGGGAGTGGTCAGAAACACAACAAAAATAAGAGTGATCTTACATCAGCTGGGAGGTCCAACTGAGCGGGTGTCAGAACTATAACTTTCGGTGGCTGTAGCACCTTCCTCACTGGCTATGGAGTCGCGAAAGTGGGACAGTCTCTTAGCTTGGGGGCTGGACTACTTGCACAGGGAGGACGACCACGAATTAACTTGAGCGCAAAGACTGCTTTACGACGTTGTGGACGATGCAGACATGGCTGAATCAGCCAGTCTGTCTCATGGGACGACTGGGTGCTCTTCATGGGACATATGGTGCTCTGCCAGTAATTTTTTCGTGAGAATAAGATGGACGAACAGCCAAGGTTGCCGTGAACAGTTGTCCCCCTGGGGTAAATAGCTTGTCCCTCTGAAACTGACTACACAAGCTGCTTGGCGCAAAAATTACCTGGCGCCCGCGCCACAGGCGCCGGCGCCAAAATACCGTAAACCACCAAACTTAGCTGAAAGTTTGTCCCCTGGGGTAGTTTGGCGCCGTGAACACGAATATCACAATCGCTTGTCACGAAACCGCCTGATGACGATCAAGAACTATTTTGTATTGACATCAACAAATATGAACAGCATTTTAAGGCTTGTCCTTCATTTTTACCTTCAATAATTATAGTTCACTTTGCAATAATACATTCACGCAACACAATATAATACAATCTGGGCAATTAATCAACAGTTGTGGGTTTTTGGAAACAATCTAAACAATAGCATTTGCGTTGCAGAGCGTTGTCAACGTAGCGTAGCGCCTATGGCGCAGGCGCCAGACAGTTCGAGGCAATCAAGTCATGTAAAAAATTCGGGCGAAAAACTGTCGTCAGCCCAAGCCGTCTATAGCGCCGCGAGCCAGTATTTTTTGGCAAGGATATGTAATATTCGTCTTCAGAAGGTCAAACTACCCCGGGAGACAAATTTCCAGCCAAATCTGCTCCCAGAGAAAAGCATGGTAAAATGGGACTGATTTCGAGGCCCCTGGAGCAGTGAAAGAATAAATTGTTACGCAACATCAATTTCGTATTCTCACTTTTGCATTTCTTTGAAACACTATCGTACGTAGCCCTATTTCATCTCATCTTCAAAAATTTACTAATTTCTTACGGAGAAAAACGTGCCGTCCCCACGGGCAATTCATGAAAGTACGTGTTGTCCGTCAACGTGTTAAACGAGTCGGCGAAGTGGACAGTCTCTTAGCTTGGGGCTGGGACTGCCTTGCACAGATCGGGGATGAGACAACCAACTAATTACTTGAGCGCAAAGACTGCTTTAAACACTCTGCGCTTCAGTTTTTTTTTTCTGTGAAAATATATCCATATAATTATTTATCAATGGAAATCTATCCTTCTTGCTTCATATTTATGGATCCACCAAAATACTTTTGTTTTCAGGGACTCCGTTGTGAGCTTTTTGTCGCTCTTATTTGTTCCAGTTCCGCCGATATTTTACATGTTGACTATTGGAATAAGTCATCCCAGTGTTTTATCTGACGTTTAGATTCCACAACCTCTGCACAGAAATTCAGTTCAGTCTTTCAAATAAGAGCGCAATCTTTCGATATTTAAAAGCACTGTAAATGCTTGCTTACTGATTTTACAAAGATTATTTTCGGAGTTCGAACGCTTAGCCGGCAGGTGCACAAGTGATTTTATTGTGCCTATGAGACTATTAATCTAGAAGAGATGATTTTTCCTATATGTTCATTGAACAATATTGCTCAGCTCACGCAGGCCATACGTATGTCAATAACAAATCGTTGTGTAACTGTAACGAATGCTCCGTTCGTTGTTCTTTCCTCATCATTGTTCACCTATTATACCAGAACGGGTAAGTAACTTTTCTATGTAGCTATGCTGCCAAATTTCAGTATATATGAATGTATCTACTCCGCGAAAGTTTATTGTAGTAACAAATTATTTCATATATATGAGTTGTACAGATGTTCTGTGATAATATTGTCGTGGAGTTTGGTTAATAAATTTCTTCACGTGTGTCACTTATTTCCGTTCTATGGTGTGTTGACGACGAGCATACATATTCCTTATGATTTCCTTTCCCATTTAGGCAAGCTCGTACTTTGTTCGATTACAGGTAAAGAAAGGTATATTTGGAAATTGATTGGTTTTGAGACAGTGGATGAACTGGCTAGAAAATGTGCTACTTCTTGGCTATCTGATATATCGGGTATCTGGTTCCGTAGGCGATTATTCCTTGCCCTATCGCTCCTGTACCGAAAAATGTCGGAACGCATACTCCTGTCCAGAACGTTTTGACAGCTGCGCATGGTCAAGTGGACCGTGTTTTCGGTTTGTAAAATGCTTTCACGTAGCCATAATTCCCAGAATCACCATATGTTTAGCTGTCGCTATGACTGCATGTGGACCACGGTTGATATTTTTGTAGAACACGAAGGATTTGTACCACAGTTTCATGGGAAATGGCCATTTCTTGCCGTGAACATCAATGTACCCATCGTAGGGAATCTCATTATTCAGGTACCGTTACGCGAAACTATTATACTAGTCTGGCAGGAGAGTTTGTCGACGAAGACTGAAATGTAAGAACTTCATATAAACAGAACGGATTCAGCAGCAAGTGTAGTCAACTCGAGAGCACAGCGGATGCTACAGTCTTGTCCGCTGCACATGAAGGGGCGCGTCAGGAGGAATGCTGTTGGCGCCGCGCTAAACCCATTCTCCACCAGTTCTTGAAGCGGGTAAGCGACAACAACGACTTGGTGGAAAACGCCTGATGGCGCCCACAATAAAATACAAACTTTATTGCTTGATTTCCCCACCCCCCCCCCCCCCCCTCTTCAACAACTGCGCTAGCCGAAAGGCGGCCAACAATCTGTACTAGTGCTAAGCACTATTGCGATTTTATGCGAGTTATACAGTGTGCGAACAAAACACTCCGGTAATTATGAAGACTAGCAAGGTGAATCTTGATTCAATGCCCCAATTTTCCAGGCGGACGCGCGTGGGCGTGTTTGTCCTTTGCCGCTTCCATCCTTTTGCCCCACTGCATCTACTTTAAAACGATGCCCGGCCACACCGATTCTCTCAGCTGTAGGATAACTCGTCCAAAATGGTCGAATTAGGCGCCCATTTCGCCCTTACAGATGCCGTCATTAACGACCTGCGCTGGCGAAACAAGAGCCACTAGCATTACTCACGGCCTTAGGCAGTCAAAAAAAAAAAATTTTGCAAAACCTTAACGTTCGGGCGGATTCGCACGAGCTTTATCCGAATTCGGTAGATCGCGTTACCACATAACTTGCCCAGAACACGTGGTAACGGCAATGTGGATTCGCTTTTCCACGCGCCACACGTTTGCCTCCCTTCGAAAGGATAGCCTGGCCTTCGTTTTGCACCTGCCTTATACGGAAACTTAACAAACACCTCCTGGAATCTCTTTCGGTCCAGAACAGGTCACAAGAACCGCACATGAGATTCTGCTACATCTTTCCCGAGAGTGCTTTAAAACAGGATGCCCATGCCCATTATCCTTGCGAATTGCCATTACACTAGAAGAAAGAGTTCTAGTGCCGAAGTGACTAGGTTGCGAAACTGTAATAATAACGTAGAGCTCGGTGAGCTCTCGCACGCCAGGCAATGCGACGAATCTACCCAAAGTAGAAAGCTCATGGCCATATGATAGGAACGCGACGACGACGTCGATACCACAGTTGCTGACTTACACCGTCGAAACGTTAAGCAGCGTTCAGACTTCGCGACGGCAGCGCTTCGGTCGCGCGATTCGACGATCGATGCGCATGCTTTCGACTGCATCGATCGCGTCAAACGCGCGACCGAAGCGCAGCCGTCGCGAAGAAACGCTGCCCTTAAAAAATCAACCGAGAGGACAGCAATATCAACGAATCAACAACGATGCTGAGGTTGCAAGGGAGCTGGAGAGTAGGCCTGTCGTGGCTCCTGTTGACTTCACCCAGGTCCAGCAAAAGCTAGGCGCAATTTGTGAAGAGCGTACAGGACGATCAAAGGGTGCCTGTCGCATTCCAAGGCAGATCCAAATATAGCACTGAAGACCTTCACTCATTTGTCAAAGATGGCTTCAGCTGGCGTGCGATTGCTCACCCATGTTATACCCTGACCCTTGTCTTCTGAATACCACCTGCTTCGGTCGCTAAAGCATCACGAGCGAGAGAGCGAAATTGAAATTCAAAATACCTGAGAAATTGCAATCAATTCGTTCTTTGATTCACAGCCTCTGATGACTTACTTACAAAGCGCAACAGTGATAAGCTAAACGTATGGAAGGTCGATGCTCTCTCTCTCAGGGTAAAATATTGCTAAGCTTCTTCCATCTAAGAAAAATCGCAAAAATTACAAAAGTTCTCGTTCGACAAACTTTCTTGCCAGTGTGATAATTTGTGCACTATAGGACTCTTATAGTGTATTTCGCTGCGGACGGTTGGGCGTGTCAGGCGGATGAGTTTGGCGCGGTGCCAAACCCGTTCTCCACCAGTTGTTAAAGCGAGCAAGTGATATGACTGTATCATATCGTTCGTATTACTCGTTTTCTACCACTTTTTGTCGCATGCGCGCTTCAACAAGAAGGCAGAGAACGGCTTTGACGGCGTGAACACTCATACTGCCTGACACGCCCAACCGTCCGCAGCGAACTAGAGTTTATACATACAGTCGTCACCCACTTGATTAGGGCGGCAAGGGTCGCGACGCGGCTGCGGCGTGTCACGAGCGCGGCGATCAGCTGTTTCCAGCCTATTTTAGCCATTTTCTCCCTAATTTACACTGTTATGGCTGCTTTTCTCGAGATTAGTTGTTCCTTGTCTTCACAAGGTAAATTATGATTGAGATTCCTCTGATTTTTGCGTACAATTAAACAGTTGAGCAGACAATTGAACAAATACCTGAAAAAATCGCAAAAACACTCTACTTGCAAAAACAAAAAGACTTTACGGTCTCATGTACTTCATAAAGACAATAAAACAACTACCAAAAAAAATAGAAAATGCAGTGAAAATTAGGGAGAAAATGGCCAAATGGCTGGAAACAGCTGATCGCCGCGGTCGTGACGCGCTGCAGCCGCGTCGCGACCCTTGCCGCCCTAATCAAGTGCCCGGATGACGACTGTATGTATCTAGTTCGCTGCAGATGGTTGGGCGTGTCAGGCAGTATGAGTGTGTCGGTCCGTCAAAGCCGTTATTTGGCTTCTTGTTGAAGCGACAAAAAGTGATAGAAAACGAGTAATATGAACGGTATGATACAGTCAAAACGAGTAATAGAAAGGTATGATACAGTCATATCACTGGCTCTGATGGAGAACGGCTTCGGCACAACACCAAACTCATCATTCTGACATGCCCAACCGTCCGCAGTGAACTACACTACAAAGATAGCTAGTGGCGCAGTTCGGCGAGGAAGGGTGCAGTTTCCGTTTTCTCATCAACCTGTTCAGCCATCATGTATAGAACTGTAAATTCTTGTGAAGTCATGAAATGATATCAGCCTCAGCTTGCAGAGACTACTTGTCAACTCTTGTAAAGCAATGAAATAGCGGTGACTCGACGAGTTTGCTGCAGCTTGAGAAGAGTTCACAGGTTTCAGCATGGGGAGACATGTAAACTGGAACTAGTGAAGCAGCGAATGTGCAAAATGCCCCCCCCCCCTCCTCCCTTCCCTGTCGCCGAACTGCGCCTAACTAGTCCTAAATGAGAGTCATTATGGATTCATACTTTCAGGAGCCGGCCTCATTCGTATTCTCTTTGCTGAATTTTTGTTCTTTTTACCTTCTATACGTTCGACTCAAATTAGTGCATGAGTTGAATAAGAGAAGTTTTTGGATTTTGTACACCATCACTGGCTTGGTCACTTGGTACGTGGATCTTTCCCTACCCTTCCTTTTCTGGTTGTTTTGTCAGGGAGACGGACAAGACAATCGTAAATTGCCGCTTCGTCGCGTGCGGCAATGGGCGCGACGTTCCCTCAAAGACAGCTCCCGCGATAAAAGTGTCACGGATAATTGCTGATCAATTATGAAACAGTAGCTGATAAGTAATTCCTAACGATGGAAAAACCAAGAACAGCCCTCAAGAACACATAAACAAAATTGCTCCCCCCCCACAGTTACACCGCCGTGCGGTCCGTGGGCAACCCCTGGCTCACAAATCGCTTTATGATGTTCTTGAGGGCTGTTCCTGGTTTCTTCCATCGTTAGGGAATTACTTATTAGCTACTATTTCATAATTGATAAGCAATTATCCGTGACACTTTTATCGCGGGAGCTGTCTTTGAGGGCATTTCCCAGTAGTGGACAACATCCAGTTCAAAGAAAGAATATGAAAAACAACAAAGACACGAACAAGAAACACTTGAAAAAAGGAAAAATTGAAAAACCTGGCGTGCGAATTTGGGGTTACGTGAAGTGTGCGGCATTTAGTGCATGATGAGCTTTTGCACTACAGAAATTGCATCATTCGTGGTTTTTACGCGTTTTACCTTTCGAGATGGGTTGCAGATGACTCGACTGTATGTGCTCCCAACGAATAGAATGTGATGAAGGAAGAGCAGAATTATTTCTTCGGCCACGGGCACGGTCAGCCCAACTAAATACTCTGCGGTTTCTATTAATTGCGCGCCCCGTCTCAACAAAGAACGACTGACGGGCTCTCTTGTCAGAAGGGCAGCCTAGCAAGTGGGGGCGCGTTTCCTACTGGCGGCGTTTGTAGAACTAGAATTCGAGCTGCGTAGCTCGCTACCTCGCCTAACTGTGGAGTCGTCGAAGTGGCGACACATATTCTAGCTTGGGAGCTGAACTACCTGCACAAGGAAGGACGACCATGTACTACTTGAGAGCGGGGCTGTCTTTAATTTGCACTACGCTTTCGGCTGTGGCGTCGGATTTCATGTAGACAAGGACATAGTAGACATTTATGTCTATTTTCGGTAATACAGTTGGCATATTCTCGACATTCAGGTTTCCTGTTATGTACCACTATTATTTATAGGATTTGTTCGGCAATTTTTCATGCAAGAGATTGCTGGCTTACTGAATATATGGACTATTTCTCGGCGTTCGCCTTCATACTGTGCGCATCATATGTCTCATTTTGCTTTACACAGTCCTGGTTAGGAACATCAGCCTACCGCACTTGGTGGATGTACGTTTCATTGAAATTCAAGAGACCATCACGCCGACATCCATTCCTTAACTTCAGGTCAACAATTTACGGGTCATCCTTATTTTTATGGTTCGCTAGACACGTATATCACATGACGGTAAGTGCATTTTTTGTTTCGAAGTTATTGAACATGCTACATGTTTCGAACAGCATGAAGTTGAGCTTGTTGAAGTTGCGCTGCTGCAGAAAAGTAGCACAGTATTTGATAGCGCGTTGTTTCAACGCATAGTAGCAGTGCCACGCTGAGGGCAGTCAATCAGGCGGAATTGTGTCCTGCCAGGCGTATTAATCCTACCCATCTTAGGGATTAATCGTGCCAACCGCTTTCAAAGGCAGGTGGCACGATAAATCTACAAGGCGTGTGGATAAATACGCCTAGCAAGATAGAATTCAGTACTACTGAGTAGGAGTTGCAAAGCGCCCTTTCCAGCGGAGGTGCCCTTGAAGTGCCCTACCACTGGCACTGGCATCGATGCGATTGTACGGACAGTTGTGGGCGTCCGGGCCGGCAGTAGGCTGCAACTGCCGTACAATGGCATCGACGCTGCTGTTCGTATTGCATCATTTTTGAGTACAATAGATAAGTAACCTTGCTACATGGGTGCAAATTTCGCTGCAGACGGATGGGCGTGTCAGGCGTGGAGTTTGGCGCGGTGCCAAACCCGTTCTCCACCAGTTGTTAAAGCGAGCAAGTGATATGACTGTATCATATCGTTCGTATTACTCGTTTTCTACCACTTTTGTCGCATGCGCGCTTCAACAAGAAGGCAGAGAACGGCTTGACGGCGTGACACACTCATACTGCCTGACACGCCCAACCGTCCGCAGCGAACTAGAGTATATGTTAGTCATATCTACCGTAGCGGTTGTGAGCATCATGCCAACGGAAGACTCGTCCAAAAATGCCCGTCAGATGCCGTGCAGAGCAATTTTCGCAAGTTTTTAACCGCTTGATTCGCTTTCTTTCGTTTTCACCACACCCCTGTTACTGTGAGCAATTATCAAATTATCGTACCGTATGCCTTTAATGGGAGTCGACTCAGGGATTGATCAGTCGATGATAAACACCCTATTCTCCCGTTCACTTCAGTGATAAAAAGACTTCGAGAGCAAAGAAAATTATGCGCTTTCAAAGCTGAAAAAGTTGTGTTTGTTAACAATCTGCCAACCAAATAAAACCCCATTGGAGATTTGTCCTGAACTGAAAACAACTTTAGTGCAGTTACAATACATAAGGTTGGTACTCTGAAGGTTGTACTTTGCTGTGCCATTTTCCCCTTTCCCAAATAGTCTGATTCTGAAAATGCCATCCTCCAGAGAAGGGGTACTTCTCAATTTTTCGATAATCTCGGGAAATGGTCGGTTTCACCGCAGTAGGGGCATTAGGCGCGAAATTCAAATGTAACAGATGGTGTCCCGATTGTTTATGGGTTGCTTGTTGAGTTTCTTCAGGCTCGGTGCTGAGGCCTGTTTTTGAGGTTCCGGTCAGTCGTTGTTATAAGTCACAGCGGCAAAAAACACCTCGAATTGCTGTGCAGCTTGGTTGCTGCACATAACTTTTGGACGGATACTCGTAGGCAGTAGTCATTTTTATGTGAGCTTGCATGTGCAAGGAGTGCACCACGCTCACAGAAAAATGTAGAGGTTTTGTCTGCTTGTTGCCGAGATCGAGTGATTTCAGTAATGGTTTTTGTAGAATGCCGATAACACCTAGGACATCTAGGTCTGCTACGTCTTGCTCGCTGGGTGTGGCCGGCAGGGCACGCCACCGCGTTGTGATCATTTCCTGGAAAATACGACCCCACCTAATTCTTTCTCAAATACGACCCTCTCCCCATGCTCTTACCACTGTTTTAGATTTCCCACCTTCTACCAATTTTTTCCCGAAAAATTTCCGGTTTTTCCGGCCGAGAGTTTTCCATCGAGCGGAAGGAGGAGGTATATACCTACTGTGAAACAGGGAAATTTCTCAGATTTTCCCTAACATCCTACCAGTTTTCCGAAATTTCCTCAAAAATTTCTGGTTTTTCCCCAAAATTTCGCTGTCGATCGAGCGGAGGGAGGTGGGAGGAGGGGGGGAGGGAGGTCGTCAGGATTTGACTATCATTTTCAACTATCCGAAATAGCAGTTGTATAGGTCTTTGGCAGTCTCTCTCTCAACAGCGGCCAAATATGACTCTTCCTTTGTAGCCGTCTGTGAAACAAGAGAAATCAACTATCAAAAAAATATTTTCTCAGTAAAAATACGACCCTCCCCACTCCCTCGCGGTCAAATACGACCCCCCCCCCCCGTTGATCATCACAACGATGGCGTGTCCTGGTGGCCGGCCGAATGGGCTTGGCGTGGAGCCAACCTCGTGTTCCATTAATTGTTGAAGCAAGCAAATGACAATACTGCATCATATCGTTTATATCAGTCGTTTTCGAACGAATTGTTGTCGCCTTCCCGCTGCAACGTTTGTAATCGCGCCAAATCCATCCCGCTGACACACCTCATCATACGCAGCGAACAGGAGTGTAATTGTAAGCCTTTGAGAATTAAATGAGGTCACACTCGAGGTGCTCAGGTGTGAATTAGGCGCACTTGATGTGTGTGAGAGCCCAAGGTTGAAGGGTTTGTCATTGCGGTTCTCTAATTACTCGTCTGTAGGAATAATCGCTCAGATCATAATTTCAGCTGCACTTCGACTACGGTTATAACATGCGCTGTTGCATTGGTGTATCTCTGTTCACTACTTTGATGTATCTGGTATATATTGTCAGCAGATGGAGAACACTCCGTCGATTGACGCGATCTGATCGAATGTTAATAGGGAATAATCGTGTGGACCAATGGTTCCGTGCTCCTTGAGACCTTAGACTTTGCTCCTTTACTCTGGATCTTTGATGCTCATTCGTTGTTTCATGCGGCTACTGTGCCTTTACCTCTTTTTCTCGGTGTCTTTCTTCAACAACATTTGACTGAAACACAGTACAGTTTCAGCAAAAGTGTGTGAATTGTGTACAATGAAGCTGTTGTAAATTAGGTGTTTGTATTTGAGGCATGGTACTTTGCACAGGCCTTTGTATCGCCATCGGATTCCCTTCACAGCTTCAAATTCATAGAAAAAAAATGCTATCGTGGAAGAAGTGCACTCTAGTTCGCTGCGGATGAAGGGCGTAGTGTTGTTGCTCGCTCGCTTTAACAACTGGTGGAAAACGGGTTTGGTACCGCGCCAGATTCATCCCGCCTGACACGCCTCTTCATCCGCAGCGATCTAGACTGTATGTGAGCAGGGCACATCTTGTTTGGAAATCCCCAACAGGGGAGGTCGTATTTGGCCGCCAGGAGAGGGGGGTCGTATTTGGGCTGAGAAAAATTTATTTTGATAGTTGATTTTTCTCGCTTCACGGACGTTGTAAAAAAGGGGGTTGTACTTGCTCACTGTGGAAGAGGGGATCGTATCAACCATTTAGTCTTTCTAGGAGTGGTGGGAGTGGTGGTTGACTTTTCGTGATTTTTCTGTTTCGTGCGTACTATACCCCTCCTCCTCCTGTTGGAAAAAGTGGCAGGAAGCTGGGGAAAATCTGAGAATTAGTAGAAGGGTGGGTCGTATTGTCTCGCGGCATCGGCTTTTCCATTTTCACATGTGCTACTTCCCCGCCCCGCTCGATTCGATGAGGGACAGAGGGCCGAAAGATGGGCGGGGCGGGTCGTATCACTCCTCTCTCAGAAAAGGGGGTGGGGTCGTACGGACTCGACTAAAATCCCCAGCCAATGATGTGGCCTGTATGTGAGATTGATTTGGTGATTACTTGTTCACTGCGGATGAAGAGGCGTGCCAGGCGGAATGGGTTGGCACCCAGGATTCTTGTCAATTGCGAAGCCTTCTTCTCCTTCCATCTTCTGTCTTCCCTCTTCCTTTTCCTTCTCTCTCGGCTGCTGCGCCAGCAGAGGCGATGGGAAAATACCTCTGGACCCTCGCAGCAGGAGCATTTTCGGTTGACAGAAGTCCGGCGCTGTTTATCGACGGGGGGGGCATTTTGTACTATCACTGCTTCCCTTGCTCCGGTTTGCAAATCTCACTTTGGTAAAACTTGTGAACGCTTGTAAAGCTGGAGCAGGATCGTCTAGCCACCATCCCAAAACGTGTCAACTCAAGAAAACGCTACCTAGATGGGTCGACACATCTATGGAAAGCAAAATGCCCCCCCCCCGTCGACAAACTGCGCCCAGAAGTCCTATAGTCTTCTTCATCTTGCTGAAGCGGGTAAGCGATAAGGTGGAAACAATGACGGACGATATGGTGCTGTGTTGTTGCTTGTTCTCTTCAACAGCTGGTGAAAAACGGGTTTGGCGACACTCCAAACACATTCCTCCTGACAGGCCCCTTCTTCCAAAGCCGACGAGACATAATTTGCTTTCGTTAGTAGCCATTCACCTTGTTATTTCTTTATGTATTGCCAAAGGCACTGGAGTGGTGGGGGTGTACGCAAGGAGTAGATTGTAGGTCATGAACAGGTCCCTCTACTGGTGCTGTTCTCCTAACTCTTCGCGCTTTTGGAGCTCTACGATCAGCGAGATTTCAGAGGTCATTGTATACTCGCCTATTCCATTCTATTTCGCTCGCGATAAGTGACTGATTCATCAGGAATTTTGTCGCTAATTCGCTCATCCTTATATTCATATTTACTTTAACCTCATTGGAGCTCTAGAAGCCGTTTTTTGCTACGTGCTTTTTGTTGATTTTTGTCAGCAGCAGAACTGGAAAATCATTAGAAAGTTACGGTTGTTTTTCTTCTGGCAGCGCTATGCTATTTTTTTGAAGAGGCATGTCCTGTTTTCCAGTATCCAGTGTTGTTTCAGGAACATTCCTAGTATGGAACACGTGGAGAGCAAGAATTTGCCCTTTGGAGTAGAATACGCTCGTTCGTCACGTTCTTCGTGCAAAGGATGCAAAAATACCATTGGAGAGGTAGGTGTTAGACATCAGTGTTAGATATACTGAATAATTTTACTGAGTCCTGATAAGTGGTGCGAAGAAGATTGCAAGGATACGTATGCTAACTAGGGAAGGTCGTCTGGTCGAAGTGGCCATTTGTAATGAGATGTAGCTCACTAGACGTGGTTTTGGACGCTGATCTCGAATCTGCCTTCGAAATTTGCAGAGCGATTCTCTGAACGGAGTTATGGAGCTTTTTCCGGGATCGGATCCCTGCTGAGCTTAACTTTTTTGCTTCTTGCGCAAACGTGGCAAAAAGTGGTTGTGGCGTCACTACTACATTAGCGCTCTCCTTGACTTGCCTGAAAAACAGTTTGCGTTCGCTTACTGGCGCGCTTAGTGCCTTATGATCTAGGAGATGTACAGGTGCCCTTGGCGCGCAGTGCAGGCGTTTTCGCGCTGAGCGAGTGCCATATTCGTATTTATGGGGGCGAACTACGCCTAGGTAGAGGTTTCTAGCCAAATCTGGCATTTTGACCTGACTTCGAAAAGCATCCATGGGTTAGTTCAGTTGATGTTCACACCTATTCAGCTGCAGATACATTCTCCTGCACAAAGCCTCGTCTTGCCACTTCGCATTCATGTTGTTACTGCTCCAGTTTTCCTGGTATCTAAAAGCAAATTCCGTCCAAAGACAAGCAATCGACAAGAGACTGGCCCTGGAACTATTGGTGACCATCATTCGATCAACTGCTACCGCACTTTTCAAAGTTAGGCTGGG